TTGCTTTTGATAATATAATTAAAGAATGATCTTTATTAAAAATATTATTTAATATCAAGATTGTTGTGCATATTATAATATTATTAAATCCTAAAGAAATCATCTTTTCTTATTAGTTTGTACATGAATGCCTAAGTAAAGGGTGTAAGATGTAATCAAAATTTTAAGTGTTTAAAATATTTTTGCTAAAAATATTTTGTTTTTAATATTTTAATAGTACCAACTAGTATTATTATATGTTAATATTGTAAAGTATAAAAAATATAAATAATAAATCAATCCATTATTTTTCATTATAATAATAAATTTAGTTTTTGCTATCATAGTTTTATATTAATATTCAATATTCAAATTGTTTATATTAACCATCACATTAAATATTAAGTTATTTTAATTTTTAATAAATAATTTAATAAATAATTTAATAAATTTCTTGAGTTAAATTTTTAATATTTATAAATTTGCAAGTATTGTTTTATATTTTTGTGGTGTCCTTATAAAAAGATGGAATTTTAATTAATAAGATTGCAGTGTAAATGATAGAGAACTAAAAATCTAATAAAATAGTTAAAATTGTACTATTACAATATGAAAAAACAATATTTGTTTAAAATTACATGCACGTAGCAATATATATCTGTATTCATAGTATGTATCTTTGTATTAAAATACGATCGATCTTTTTATTACGAAGTTTGTAGTGTAATATTTTCATCAATATTTTTTATTGAAGCAATGCAATAGAGGCTTACTTATATATAGCAGATTGCATAAATTTAACCGTAAGTTAAATTAATTCGGTAAGCAATATAAATAATCATAGAATCTGAAAAAATAATAATCCACTTTTTCAGAGTAGCTGGGACATTATTTGACTACTAAATGGAACTGAAAATACAGTCTAATTCTATTTTTTTTAAAACTTAGGTTTTTGTATTTTTTATCAAAATCAAGCATACTTATATAATTCAAATTATGTTTCAAACTATCTGTTAATAATTATTACTTTTATTTGTTTAAATTTCAATATTGATACTGTTTAGTAATTAGTTACACAATCTATGTATAGAACTTGGACATTTAATTGTACACAATTCTGTATAGTTTCAAATTTGCAAATTTTTATTAGTAAGTGGTATATTTATTACTTCTTATATGATCTCTTATTCTAGTTTTTGTTATAAACTTTAATTTGATCCCGATCATTAATTTTCCCATTTGACATTGCATTTTTTTTCATGTTTTAATATGAAATTTATCTTGCCTATTATTCATATGTTACTTTTAATATTACTGTTCGGAAAATAATCCCACAATTTGACTAGTCAGCGAAACGTGCAATAATTAACTTAGAACAATAAAACCCACTAGATGTTATGTGGGGTCGCCGGGCAAGTAAAGGGTGAATGCACTGATTAATAATTAACACATGTCTTTATTATTTCTATTTATTTGAATTGATTTACAAAAGGGTGAATTACAGACGAACTTTATATTTCTTGATAATCTTGTGGTGTTGAAATATATTTACTATGAATGAAGCAGGTTATAATCTATTGAATATTATCACTAAGAGGTTATGGTGATTGTAATGCTCTGATC